GACACAGTGGCGGTTTTAAGCCTAGTGTATAAGTTACTAAAATATATATATAATTATTTAGTGCATGGGCGGTTTTAAGTCCAGGCGCGGAGACACTTTATATATATATTCAAAATAACAAAACATATATACATTCACTAACCCCGTTTCGTCTAGTAGGTACTCATCGAGCAGAATAATCACCGAAATTATACTAAGGTACAACCACGAAACCGGATCAGCCACCACTGTGAACTCTACAGGGACAGCTTCCAAATACAGCTGGTCACAAGGAAACATCTCAAGTCATATCTAATTAAATTTAACCAATCTCTTTGAAATACGACTAAGGAAATACATTCAGAATTTGCATGCGTTTAAAATCTCAAGTTATTGAAATACGATTGAAGAAATAATAATCTATATAAAGCTATCTTATATAAATCGTTGAAAATTGTACAAATAGTTAATCTCCAGGTTTATCTTGTTACGTTTAATTGAATTCTTTTCTTTATTACATATTATTTTAATGAATTATTAATATTTTAAATAAATCAGTATTTAAAAAATTAAACGCATTACTTTTATTTTGAGAAGTCCTGTCTCCGCGAATATAAATTTATTGTATCCCCTGGAAAAGACTGAGGATACCCCAGCATAAATTATAACGAAACGGGAAAATCCGTGTCGTTACAAAGGTACCCAGGGATTTGGATCGTAGCGATTTTAAATACGAATATGCAAACATATCTATTTATAAATTGTTCAATATCACATCCCAGAATATTATTTCTGTAGCCAGTTAAATGATCGAAACGCCTGAGTCCATAGACATACCTTGTCAAGCAGTTAACTAAAGCTCTTAATTTGTATAGGGAGTCTGAGTCAAGTTTGCTGTAAACCAGACTAGAATACATAACTATAGGCATTATTAATTGCTTTACTAACGTACAACGAAGATTTATTGGACTATATTTAGCTGATAATTGTAAACATCTAAGTGATACAATTGATTTTCGAAAAACTTGATTTATGTGGTCACGGGCATTCAAGCTGGAGTTCAAGTAAAAACCTAAGCATTTTACTGATAATTTATAATCAATTGTAGTATTACCAATTAAAATTAAAGACAATTTCTCCAGTATAATTTTTCTTCTCGCAATAGGCAGAATATTTGTTTTATCTGTATTAAGCAGCATGTTGTTTACTTTTGCCCATGCATTAATTCTTTATAAGTCATCAGTAAGCTTACGAACACTGCCTAAAAAAGATACATTGAATTCATCGTGCATATGCATGTTGTTAATTTGTGTTTTTACAATTTAACTTTATTCTTATCGGAAGTCAAAAGTTAATCTATTTCTATATTTTTACAAAATGTTAAATACAGTTAATCAAATAAGAATAGCCTACTATTCAATTATGATTATACATTTCCAACATTCTCTTGGACCTAATTTTTGAAACCACTAAAGTAATGTTTAACATGACATTGAATTTTGTTTATTCTAGATTAAAACGAACAGGTTGTCTTCTCCTTCTAACCGACCGTCTTAATTGAACTGGCAACTGATCAGTGTGTGTGGACCCATATCTGTCGTCGGACTCCGCTTTGTCGTCTTTCTCTCTTTGATTTTGTTTCAAGTCAGATCCAGTAGTGATTATTGTTTCATCGGTCCCCATTTTGTCGTCTTTCTCTGTTTGACTATGTTCCGGGTCGGATCCAGTAGTAATTGTTGTTTCCTCAACCGGTGGTGTCCGAATACCGAAATCTAAATCAATATCAATATTATCTGCCCTAAGCTGATTTGAATGCGATGACGATAAATTTCGACGTATTTGATTTTGATGTCGTTTTATGTAACCATTTTCAGTTTGAATAAAATACATTTTATTTCCCAGCAATTTTTGTATCACGCCTCTGACCCATTTATGCGATCCCGAATAATTACGAGCTAACACTTTCTCTCCAACTCCGAATTTACTTCTATTTTGAGTTTTCATAGTCTCCATAACTTTCGGGAACAACGCCGATAAAATGGTTCTTGGTTGCCGCCCATGTAACAACTCTGCTGGCGATTTATCAGTTGCTAAGTTTGGAGTAGTTCTATACGTTGTAAGATATTTATACAACGCTTTGTCAATATGTTGTTCCTCTTTCATAATTTTTGTTACTGTTCCACAATATATGGAAATTTTGAATATGCATCCACAACTATGAGCCACATACGTTTAAAGAATGGACCCGCGAAATCCAAATGAACTCTTTCCCACGGCCTACTAGGTTCTGGCCATGCAGAAAATTCTCGCTTTGGTTGACTTGCACCTTGTTGACAAGATGAACAATCATCATGAATACGTTCTATGGCTTTATCAATAAGAGGAAACCACACATATCGTCTTGCCATCTGTTTCATACGACCTTTACCCCAATGACCCTCGTGTAACAAATTTAATACTTGAGATTGCAGTGCTTTCGGTAGCACCACTCTAGTATATTCAGCCTGAAGAAGTAACACTCCATTCTGAAATGATAAGCAAAATCTGCGATTAAAGTACGGTTTGATACTACCTTCAGATTTCGGCAATTGTTCAGGCCAGCCATCTTGTACATATCTGCTGACACGTTGAAGAGTGTTGTCATTAGCAGTCATATCCTTTACTAATGTTGCATTTACTGGAAGATAATCCACAGCATTTTGATAAACAGTATCGACATCATCTAACATCACAACTTCCTTTCTATCAAATTGTATGTCATCCCCACACGGCAATCTGGAAAGAGCATCAGCGTTAGCATTCTGAGATGAACTTTTGAACCGTATAATGTATTCATATGCTTGAAGTACAATAGCCCAACGCTGTAAACGATGCAACGCCATCACTGGCAACTTTCTATTCGGATTAAACAGTGTTGTCAACGCTTGATGATCAGTTATTAATTCAAAACGTCTTCCATAAAGATATTGATGAAACTTGGTCACTCCATAAATTATTGCTAATGCCTCTTTTTCGATTTGAGAATAGCGTTCTTGGCTGCTGTTTAATTTTTTTGAAGCATACGCGATTGGCTTCTCTGAACCATCAGCATAACGATGTGAAATTACTGCGCCGATTCCATACTTAGAAGCATCTACTGCTAACACTATAGGCTTCTTATCATCATAATGAACGAGTTCCGTAGCTTTGATCATAGCATTCTTCAATGCTTGAAAAGCACCTTCATGATATGCTGTCCATTTAAACACAGCATTCTTTTTCCTTAGTTCATTTAAAGGAGCAGCTAATATGGAAAACTGTTTAATGAATTTGTTATAATAATTAACTTTTCCAATGAAAGCTTCAACTTCTTGAATATTACGAGGACGCGGCATTAATTTGATTGCCTCTACACGTTTTCCTGTGGGCATTAATCCATTCACATTGATTACGTGTCCAACATAATCTACCTGCTCTTGCGCAAAACTACATTTTTCGCTTTTACATGTCAAGCCGTATTCTTCCAAACGTTGAAAAATTTTTAAAACATTATTCAAATGTTCTTTATTATTTCGACCTGTTACGATTATATCATCTAAATAAACTGCACAGTTCGGTATTCCAGCGGTTACTTCTTCCATAAGACGTTGAAATATGCCAGGAGCACTGGCAATACCGAATGGCAATCGTTGAAACTGGAACAAACCAAATGGCGTATTAATTACTAGAAGTTCTTTTGTTGCGTCAGACAATTCTACTTGCAAGTACGCTTCACTAAGATCAATTTTTGTGAAAAATTGTCCTCCTTGAAGTTTATAAAAAAATTCCTCAACTCTAGGAATTGGATACCTGTCAATCTCAATTTGCGAGTTCACACCAATTCTGAAATCTGCACAAATACGTAATTTTCCATTTGGCTTTGACACTACAACTATAGGAGCGGCCCAGACGCTGCTTCTGATAGCTTTCAAAACTCCAATATTTACCAACCGATCAATTTCGATGCGAACGTCTTCTCTTTTCGCAAACGGCAGGTTGTATGGTTTAAAGAATTTAGGCTTAGCATCTGACTTCAATCTGATTT